CCACACAAGTGGCATAATCAGCAGTACCAACTGGGAGCTGCCTGCAGGATCCTCTGTTACAATGAGTTGGCTGAGTTTATCCTGCTATCCTGTGGCCAAGGGATTTGTGCAGCACAACACAGGCCTGAAGGCCACGCTGTATGTGCACCATAGTGCAGTATGGTACACAGCATAGCGCAGCTTAAGTATTCCTTGACCTGATCCTCTTCCACTAAGGGTAATTCTTCCTTGCTCCAGACTTTCCTTCTGATTTCTGGGACCTGGAATTCCTGAAGACTGGTCTTGCTTGTAAAGACTGAGGCAAAGAAGGCATTCAGTACCTCAGCCTTTTCCATGTCCTGTGTCACCAAGGCCCCTGTCCCATTCAGCAATGGGCCCACACTTTCCCTAGTCTTCCTTTTGTCACCTATGTATTTATAGAAGCCCTTGTTGTCCTCATCATCCCTTGCCAGATTCAATTCCAGGTAGGCTTTGGCTTTCCTCACTGTATCGCTGCATGCCTGGAAAACATCTCTGTATTACTCCCAGGTTTCCTGTCCCTGCTTCTACCCTCTGTATACTTAATTTTTTATGTGTGAGTTCTGCCAGGAGCTCCTTGTTCATCCATGCAGGCCTCCTGGCATTTTTCAAATATTGAATCATAGAATAGCCCAGGTTGGAAGCGACTTCAAACAATCATCTGGTCCAACAGATCATAGGAAAGGGAGCCTAGATGAAATTATTTAGTATCCTGTCCAATCACCCCATCATGCTGATTTCCCAGAAAGAATCTTTGGGGTTTTCTTTATCATAATGGTGCCTTGCAGGCACTTCCTTGCTTACATGTGACTGTTGGAGGTGGCCCTGTTTAAGCCCTAATTTCTTTATGTTGCATTCCCTTTCAGCCACATTACTCCAGGCATTTTGCTCCTTGGCCCTGTCTATCCCTTACAGGATAATCCCTTACAGGATAATCCCTTACAGGATTGCTGGTTACTCCCTCACCTGTCCTAGTTTATAGCTCTCCTTACCAGGTCAGCCATCCTACTGGAAAAGATATCTTTTCCCCACTTGGTGAAGTGGAACCCCTATCTCCCAAGCACACCTTCATCCTCAAACAGGGTCCCATGGTCATAAAAAACAAAAGCCTGTTGTTTACACAAGCTCCACAGCCAATTGTTGACATACTGTATCAGTGCCCTCCTCCTTACACCCTTTCCTCTCACCAACAGGATTGAGGAGAATACCACCTGGGACTCCATGTCCCTGGCTATCACTCTTAAAGCTCAATTGTCACTTTTGATACTCACCTGGTTGCCCGGTAGTCATTGGTGCCCACATGAAAGAAAAGCAGGGGATAATAGTCAGAGGATTGGACAAGCTCCAGCATTCTCTCCATGACATCCTAGATCCAGGCCCCCAACAAGCAAGAAACTTCTCTAGACAATAGGTCAGGTTGGCAGATCAGTGCCTCCGTCTCCTACAGCAGGGAGTCACTCATTATTATCACTCAGCACTTCTTGGTGGTCTTTCATGGTTAAGGGTCAGTTGGTCATGATATGAAACCAGTTCAAAAACAACAGCAATAGTAACAACAACAGCAAGAGCAATAACTTGCAAGGAAACTAGAAAAATAACAAAGAGAGGGAAAAATAACCCCAAGAAAGGCAAGTGATACAAACGAAAGCAATTGCTCACCACTGGCAGACCGATTCCCAGCCAGTCCCCGAGCAGCAGCCCCCCTGCCAACCTCTCCCCTAGTTTTATTGCTGAGCATGATGTCATATGGTCTGGAATATCCCTTTGGTCAGTTGAGGTCAGCTGTCCCAGCTGTGTCCCCTCCCAACTTCTTGTGCATCCCCAGCCTCCTTGCTGGTGGGACACTGTGAGAAGCAGAAAAGGTCTCGACCCTGTGTAAGCACTCCCTGTGTTATCAACACCGTTTTAGGCACAAATCCAAAGCATAGCCCCACACTAGCTACTATGAAGAAAATTAACTCTACCCCAGGTAAAACCTGCACAATTATTTATTTTAAATGAGCACAAAAATTTACTTTAAAACGTGATAAAAGGTATTGGAAATTATGAAATCCAGTAATGTAAAGTAAGACTTTTTAAAAATTTTATTCTCAAAAGAGACTTGCTGGCAGTTGAAATAATATGGTAATTTTACTTAGTTTAAGTTATTTTGGCACAAAAAGAGCTTCTGCAGTATGTAGTTGTGATATAAGAAAAAAACTGGGTGTATGAGCAAGAATTAATTGAATTCACATTACTGATTTTCACGTGAATAAGGATACTAAAAAAAAAAAAGAGTATGATGCTGCAATTTTAAAGTAACAGCCTTTGGATCCCAGTATTTGGGATAATTCACACTTTATTAGTATTTTTAAGGATGCCGAGATCAACAGAGGAACCATATAAAAGTGGAGGTCACTGTAACATAAAATATTAATTTAGAATATGTACTTGTATTGGGTCTGACTGGGATGGAATTAACTTTCCCCATAGCAGCCCTCACAGTGCTGTGCTTTGTATTTGTTGCTATACAGGTGTTGATAACACACCAATGTTTTGGTTACTGCTGAGCAGTGCTTCCACAGCATGGAGACTGTGTTTCCAGCTAGCACCATCACCCTCCCCCCAAAGGCCAGTAGGCTGGGGGTGGGCAAGAGGTTGGGAGGGGACATAACCAGAACAGCTGAACCAATCTGACCAAAGAGATATTCCATACCATATGACATCTGCTCAGCAACAAAAGCAAAGAGAAAGGAGGAGGGGAGGGAGGCATTCATTATTAAGGCGTTTGTCTTCTGGAGGAAGCATTACAGGTACTGAGGCCCTACTTTCCAGGAAGCGGTTGGACATTGCCTGCTGATGGGAAGTAGAGAATAAGTCATTCTCTCCACAACAACCTGGATCCAGGCCCTCAACAAGCAAGAAAATTCTCTAGACAATAGGTCAGGTCAGCAGATCAGTGCCTCTGTCTCCTGTAGCAGGGAGTTGTCCATTACTATCACTTACCACTTCCTCCTGGTGGTCTTGCATGGTTCAGGGTCCGTTGGTCCAGATGCTTTGCTTGAAAGCACATCCAACTCCTCCTCAGCTCTGAGGACAGTGAACCTATTTTGTAGTTGTAAGCCCTAAGGTGGAGCAGGAGTCTTCTACCAGAAGTCACCAACTTCCATTCTTTGCTTTTCTGTGAGGTTGGGCTGTGAAAGGGCTGTAAGGCATGTCTTGTGAGGAGCGGCTAAGGACACTGGGTTTGCCTAGTTTGGAGAGAAGGGGGATGAGGGGTGACTACAGCTTCCTGAGGAGAGCAAATGAAGAGGGAGTTGCTGATCTCTTCTCCCTGGTATCCAGTGACAGGATGCATGGGAATAGTTCAAAGCTGCATCAGGAGAGGTTTGGATTGACATTAGGAAACATTTCATTACTGAGAGGGTGGTCAAACACTGGAACAGGATTCTTAGAGAAGTTGCTGCCCCAAGTGATTAGATTCTGCCCCTGTGCTCATCTGGGCTTGTGGAGATGGGCCGGTTATGGAATGCTGACTCCTTTTATGGGCCTGAGAGTAGCCATGTCAGGGTATTATTCAGATCCCCCACCTGCCATTGTCTGTCTATGCTCGTTTGTGGGTGTGAAGATTAGAATTTTATTACATAACCTAACACACACTACTTGCCTGTTGTTAAATGTTGCTTTTTAAAAAAACATAAAACAGTAACGAGAGATACAGTGCTGAGCTGAGAGCATTCCATGTTTCGCATTAGACTGCAATATATAACAGTTATTTTATATGAACTTCATTTGAACCTTCATTAGAAGTATTTATATACTTTTCCCAAGGGTTTCTCATACAAATATCTTCAGGTACCTCAAAACCCAGATCAATTTAAAGTGCAACATCAAAGCAGACTTTCAGTGTTTGTTCCTCTTTTGTAGTAGAGAAACACCTGACAACTTCAGTTACTGAAAATACATTTCACTCTGCTTCTGGCAACTGATAAGGACTTTTCAGATATTATATGTAGATTAGTTTTCTTTCAACAATTATGCTATCATCTTGATATAGGACAGAGAAAATGCATTATAGACACTTGTCTGATATTTCTGTGCTTTGCACTTCAGGTAGTCATTCAATTAATTTTTCATTCCTTTAAAATGGATTATAAATTTCAGTCAGTTTATCTACTGAATTACGACCAGTTATTTTAAATTTAGATTATGTCTAATCTGGTCTCAGTCTACAAGAGGGAGAAATCCAGTCATTAGTTTTAGTAATTTCCCTGGATTAATTGCAAAAGAAACAAATGGAAGTCAAATAGAAAGTTACAGACTTTATGAATTAACATACTTAAGATTTCATTTGTACTAAGCATTATGACATTTTAAAGTTTACCTGATAGACTTTCTGATACCAAACACCATTTTGTAGAGGACAGATAGATAGGGGAAGGTAGAAGTAGAGGAGCGTACACTTGAGTTTTTACTCCTTGCTCTACATTTCAAAAACAATCCACCCAACTACTCTTATTACAACAGGTTCAAGCACAGTATAAGAAGAAAACAAGCAAATTGTTTTCTTTTCAAAAGTGTAAATATGCTTGAAAATCAGAGGAAATGGAGAAAAGCGAAGGGCGCATCCCTGTGCTTTGAAACCTTTGGTTTCCTTGTGACACTCAACTAATTCTGTTCACAAATCTTATGACAGTGCATTTCTAAGCATCCAAACTTCTAAAAAGGTCTGGTGTTTTGTTGAATTCAATAAGAGCTTGACATTTAAAATGCAACTTAAAATATCAATGTTACATTTCTGCTCAACAAATCTAGCACCAGTAGGGAGTCTGTCATGCACCTACAGGTAAAATTATTTCACAAGACTAGATCTTGTTAGAATACTCATATCTTCTTTTTTTTTTTGAAATGCAAAAGCATTTAAGAATCCTTTTAGAGTTGCACTGCATGTTATAATATTTGTAAGATCTCTCTAAACCTTTTCTACATCCTTCTACTTTCAGACTCAAAACATCATGTATGACATGATTTCTGACTTAAATGAAAGAAGTGAAGATTTTGAGAAGAGAATTGTTACTCTGGAGACTAAACTGGAAGCTTTAATTGGTAGCATTCAAGCTCTCCCTGGACTGATTAGCCAGACAATCAGTCAACAACAGAAGGATCTCCTTGAGACTCAAATACAAAATTATAAACATGTTGCCTACAGTGCTGAGCAATCATGGTCTTTGTCAAAAAGGAGGAGATCCTCCTCCACAGCACCACCAACTTCATCAGAGAGTAGCTAGAAGAGAATAAGTTAATCACTTTCTGCCATCATATGGTCAATATTTTAGCTTTTATTGTAAAGCCCTATGGTTCTAGTCAGTGTTATCTGGGTTCTGATGTCGGAATCCTGGAAACCTGGACACAATATTTAAGGTCAAAATGAGTGAAAACTGTTTTCCCCCCCTCCTCTCAGATGCACAGTGAATGCACTTATTATTGCTATATTAGATTGTTTCTCCTGTAATTTCACTAACTTTTTATTCATGCACTTCAAACAAACTTTATTCCTACAGTATGCAATAATAACAATATAAAGGGTAATTTCTGCACATATTTGTTTGCTTACTTGGACTTTAACAGTTAAAAAAAGCTCAAAATTAAAAGAATTAATTCTAAAACTTTAAGCAACAAAATTCAAGTCTAATTATCCTCTAAGTATGAAAACTCATTCTCTAAACTTTGCACTGGAGGGGGGAAAATAAAAATCAAAACAAAAATTTAAAAAATTAATGTTCATCTAAAAGTGTTCTTTGTATGTATAGTCATTTTAAAAGTCCACTGACAGCTTCAGTTTCTAAAGTGATTAATTAAAAATATAATTTACCCTAGAAATCAGAAAGACAGTAATGCAGAAAGTCAGAGCAGAATCATGGTAGGCAAGACAGAAGAGTTGTTCTCTCAATCATTCAAAATTCCAGAAATAATAATCTGAAATTCAGCACACACTTTAGGCCTATTTATTATGAAGGTTTTGACTTTTTGGTATAAAGTATATAACTGATGAACACAAGTAATCTGATGAACATAAGTTATATCCATAGGCATTGCTTGCTTATAAAAAGCTTGAGAGTTTCTCCAATACTTTTTTTTGTCCTTGGGAAAGATAATGACTTCATAGCTTTTTTCCCTCCTAGATGAGCAGCATGGCTGCATGCCTTGGGAGTGTTTTATTTATAGATGGTGATATTTTGTGACTGGAAATAATAAGCCCTATGCACATTATTTACAGTTCTGCTTTTGTTTCTGTGAAGTTCACCTCTTTTGAGTTACCAAAGGAAGAGATGGTTATAGCGGTACTGTTGTGCTAGTTCAGACCTCAGCTAGATGAGATTTGTGAAAGGTCATGAGGCCATCTCATTTGCACTATTGGCAGGATTAGATGTATTGATTAATAATATTGGGTTTTAATAGTTAAATATAAAAATTTTCTTCTTGAAGATTTTCATTTTTCCATTCTCCCATTTTTCATGTATAATTTCAAATATTTTTTCCTGTTACTGAATGTGAAATGCCCTTTCTGTATCTTAAATGCATTGCATTTTGTCATACCAGCACAAACTATCTCTTTTGCTTACAAAACCATAATCTTTTTTATATTTGTAAGTTGGGATTTTAAAAAAAATTTCCTCCTCTAGATTGTATAATTTTTTAAAGAACTGTAGTTCCATATTGAAAATTCTTGCCAATCTGTGACAATTAACTCTGAGTTAAGATCTAACTACAAGTACTGAGCTAGTTAATCCTGCTGTGAAAGAGCAACTGTCATCTTTCACCTCTCAGTTCTCTGTTACACAGTAACACAGTAATACGCAGTAGGACTCAGGAGTCTGAACATAATAAATTATTTCTATAGCTTTATGCAAGCAGGAGTGTTAGATATAATGGAATTATTCACAGCAACAGGATTTTATAATAGTCTGCCAAATTCTTTTGTATTCCTTTTAATTTTAAAGCAAACAACAAATGATGACGACATTGAATACTCTGGTTCAGTTTCTTAATTTACTTTAAATTTCACTAAAGATATTTTATCTTTATAATTCTGATAATTCTTTCCTTCTAATACCTGTTTTTGAAAAGTACTTCTACATGTGAATCCAGTCCAAGAAAAGATGGATATAAACTTATAGTGAGGAAAGCCCAAAGTACTATAGGTTTAATTTTCATACTCCTGATACAAAATTCCTTTCCATCTTTCCGTTTTGGAATCTTGCACCACAAAATCCTTTGCTGAATTTTTACATCCAAAACATAAGCTTCTTCACAGTGGTCAGTATATCATGTCACCAAAAGGAGAAAATAGTATTATGGCAGATCTCCAAAACCGCTTTTGTAACTGAATATAGACTTTTCTTTGAATGATTGTTTACAAATAATAAGGAATCTTTCACAAGAAACACATGGCATATTTACTGTACTACAAATTGAAAGGCTTCATGCATACTCCAATTTTGTCTCACTGCATTCCAGATACTGATTCCTTTTATCAGTTACTTTGGAGACTTGTTGCTAATTCCTGCAGTTTTAATGACTCTTAGCAAAGGTATCTTGCCTGTAAAGACTTAAACATATCACAAACAGACACATCCACCATGCTTAAACCTAAGTACATTAATTTAAATAGTATTTTAAAGCTATATTTAAGTCTTTGCAGGATCATAACAATACACTCACAGCATAATATGCTTGCAAAATGCTCTGCAGATTTTTATTCTGCAAATCACTATTTTAAGTCTGAAGATCTTCCCAGATATACCTGGGCAACTCAGCTCTTTTTTACCTCCCACAGCTCCATAAAGTTGGCAATGATGCAGGAGGAGCTTCATTATCTAAAAGGTAAATATCCAGCTTAGGAGCTCTGAACACCTTCTGGAATCCCATACATTTCCTCATGAGCTATTTAAATCTTTTGGCTATGTAGACTGGGTGCTCTGAATCACTGTCATCATTAGAGGTCTAAGATATGGGATAAGCATATTGTTTTATTGCAGTTCAGTTTTTAAGACTCTTTCCATGTTATATCATACATGGACATTCAAAGGGATGCATTAGATATTAAAAAAATATTTAAGCATAAAAGAACAAATGGTTTTAATATGAATGCCTAATATATAGAATAAAACCTATTACCCATATCAGTTTTACAAACACAAATTGCCTGCAAGCTCTTTTCCCCTCATTAAGTTGTGAAAAATTCTCAATAAGTTTTATCTTCACAAATAATATTTTCTAATTAGTAAGTTTGTCCTCTCCATTTATCAAAATTGTTGTTGTTCATAATGTTTTGGTTTGGTTTTTTTTAAGGGTAGAATAAAAAAAAAAAGCAAGAACTTCCTTTGGCCTTTCTACTCCACTCTTCTCAAAATAATTATTTGGCAGGTCAGTGTTGGGGGTGAAATCAATAGCCCAGCTCAAGTGCATCTACTCCAATGCAGCAGTCTGGGTAACAAATAGGAGGAGCTGGAAGCCATTGTGCAGCAGGAAAGCTATGATGCAGTTGCCATCACAGAAATGTGGTGGGATGACTTGCATGATTGGAGTGCTGCAATGGATGGTTATAAGCTCTTCAGAAGGGACAGGCAAGGAAGGAGAGGTGGTGGGGTGGTTCTGTACATTAGGCAGTGTTTTGACTGTATAGGGCTCAAGGATAGTGATGATAAGGTCAAATGCTTATGGGTAAGAATCGGTGGGAATGCCAACAAGGCAGATATCCTGGTGGGAGTCTGTTATAGACCACCCAACCAGGATGAAGAGGCAGATGAAATATTCTATAAGCATCTGGCTGACGTTTCACAATTGCCAGCCCTTGCTCTCATGAGGGACTTCAACTTGCCAGATGTCTGCTGGAAACTGAACACAGCAGAGAGGAGGCAGTCTAGGAGGTTCCTGGAGTGTGTGGAAGAGAACTTCCTGACACAGCTGGTAAGAGAGCCAACCAGAGGTGATGCCCCACTGGACCTACTGTTTATGAACAGAGAAGGGCTGGTGGGAGATGTAGTGTTCGCAGGCCATCTTGGGCACAGTGACCATGAAATAATAGAGTTTTCGATTCTCAGTAAAGTAAGAAGGGGGGGTCAACAAAACTGCTACCTTGGACTTCCGGAGGGTGGACTTTGGCGTATTCAGCACACTGGTTGACAGAGTCCCTTGGGAAACGACCCTTAAAAAGAAAAGGGTCCAGGAAGGCTGGACATTCTTCAAGGAGATCTTAAAGGCGCTGGAGCAAGCTGTTGCCATGTGCCAAAAAACAAGCCAGTGGGGAAGAAGACCATCCTGGCTGAACAGGGAGCTTTCACTTGAACTCAGGGAAAAAAAAAGAGAGTGTAGTGGGTTGATCCTGGCCGGGTGCCAGGTACCCTCTAAAGCCACTCTCTCACTCTCCCTCTGCAACTGGGCAGAGGAGAGAAAAAAAACAGCTAAGGATTCATGAGTTGAGATAACAGCCGTGAGAGGTCAGTTACTGATTACCTTCACAGGCAAAACGGACTCAAAGTGGGGATGGAACTCTCCTGGGAGGTGAATCAGCTGACTAGGGGGCGGAGCCCACTCATCCACGTCGGATTTAAACAGCTGCTGGGAGCACCGGCGACCCGGAGTGGGTAAATAGGGATGTGGCACGGCAGTTAGCAAGGCAGTTCACGCAGGAGGGGCACAGCCACCTCCCAGCTCTCTCGGGTGAGCTTTTTTTTTTTCTTTTTTTTTTTCTTTCCCCTGCAACTCAACTAAAACGAACAATGGTTTCCAAAAAAGTGAAAGCCGTTTCTGCTGTTATCACAAGGGGTGTGTTAACACAGACAGAACCACCAAGAAGGACGCAACTGTTCAGGTCTCTGGCTGCAGAGTGTTTGAGCCTGGCATTAGTACCTGAGTACTGTGTGAGTGGCATCTGTGTACGATGCAAGCAAGTGAATGATTTGCTGTACCTGGTGGCAGAGCTCAAGGAAGAGGTAGAGAGGCTAAGAAGCATTAGGGAAAGTGAAAGGGAAATTGACTGGTGGAGTCGCACCCTTTCGACCCCAAAAGAAGTCCAGCAGGAGACAGTGAAGCCCTGCCCCTCCTGCCATCAGGCAGATGGAGCAAACCAAGTAGATGGGGGGAAATGGAAACAGGTCCCTGATCAGAGGGGTAAAAGAATCCCCTCCCGACCTCCATCACCTCCCCGGGTGCCCTTAAAGAACAGGTATGAGGCCCTGGACCCAGAGAATCAGGTAGAGGACAGGATCTGTCTGGAGGGTCTTCT